AAAAAGGAACCCTGGCAGTGGCGCGGGATGGATGGCCCGCTGCAATGCTGTTGTGCATAAGCAATTAAGTATGTCCAGAGTGTGCCTTGGGTCATACCTTATACAGTACTAAGCAGCACGCCCTGTGCACTCCCTCTCAAAACCACCTGCCACTACTGCACGAGCGCACGCGCTGTAGACCCAGCAATACCTGCACAAAGCCAAGCGGCGACAAACAAAGAATTGATATTCTCAATCGAATACGTTCTACTTTCTATGCAACCACCAGAGGGTTGCATTCTTGCAAGTTCTGCTGCCTGGGGACGTCTGTACTGCACAGTACCAAACCACCTCTCCCCCACCCATATACCGATATCCATTCGCCAGTCAAACATGCATTGCATACCCGATTGCTTCTGCCGCCGCCCTATCCCTCCAGTGGTGGCACCTGAGCAAACCATAAGCATCGCCAGAAGTACGCGGGGGGGGGCGCGAAGCTGGGCATGACCCTGGCGGCTGCGTGGTGGATGATGAAGAAAGAGTGACGGCTAATGTCCTTCTGCCATGCACGGTCCAACGCTGCGCATATGCTTCCCGTTGTCTTCCTACAAAGAGCACATGACCGTGCGTCAGCCTACATACGATAATCTTACGTCTAAGCCTGTCAGATCGTGACACTCTCCGAGACCCTAGGCAAGTATCATGCGGTATGATGCCCAGTGCTGTATAACTTAAAATGGCACGCCTATGACGCCAGGATGAAGTGGTCCCTGTCCTGCGGGCCGCGCAGCTGAATCCCTTCCCACAACCCCACGACCGTTTCGCATCCACAGATACTCAAGATGCTGCCTGCGATTGCCGCGATGAGATTTGTGCCCAGCGTAGCTCTGGGTGGACTCGCCTACACTGCGCAGCAGCATCTGGCGCGGGCGGCGTTGCCGCATGCCTGGCAAGAGCAACTGCAGGTGTGCGAGCGCGCGGCGCCCTGCTGGGCATGCCACCAGCAACCCAGTGCAACGCACCAACGCACTTGATAATACAATTTGCTTTCAGGCCAAGCGGTTCTATGTGGCACCCCAGCCGGCGGAGGAGGCCAAGCCGAACGGCGCAGCTGCGGCCGCCGCACAGGTGGCGGCCTCTGGGCCTGCGCCCAGGCACCCCAGTGTGTCGCCCCCCATGCCAACTGGATACCTGGGCTTCGCCGCCAACGGGCGCCTGCCTGGCGCGATCGACTTTCATACGGTGGGCTGTAGTGCTGCGTGCATGTTGCGGCCGCAAGGGCGTGTCCCTGGCCCCACCACGCAGGACGCGGATGCCACACGCACTTCGGCCTTCCCTGTGAAGCCCGACCTCCTGCATGTTTGCTGCTGCAGGCGTTCCCGGCATGCACTTTCGCTCCTGAGGGCCAGCATGGGGCCCTGCACCGCGCACACCAGATCAGGACATCTTTGGTTTGACTCGTTGCATGCCTTTTGGGCTCCTCCACCTCGCCCCAACAGGTGCCGTCCGATGTGGCGGCTGCCATGGGCACCCCTGCCTACGACTCCGACTACCTGGCCTCCGTGCAGCCCAAGCACCTGAGGCCCGAGAGGGTGCGTCGGCCGCAGGGGCCGCAGGACTCACCACCTCACCCGTGGAACACGGCATCAGCACGCTGCCTTTCGTGCTTGAGGGTTTTCGTGTTGTTTCAACCACCTCACCTGCGGAACACGGCGTCAGCACGCTGCCTTTCGTGCTTGAGGGTTTTCGTGTTGTTTCAGGGTCAGTCAATCTCCGTTGCTCGCCAGCTCACTGCCTCTGTCCCGTCATTCCCCACTTTACAAACCGCACACTCAGGGATACCAGAAGGTTGGGTTCAAGGTGCGCAAACGAGCTCATCCTCGCCTCCTCCCTCCAGCGCATGCCCGCATCGCTTGCATGCCATCACCTGCGTCCCCCCTTCGCCTCAAGCCGCGCTGCCAGCTGCCACGTCGCGGCTCCTGCCCGACGGGCCGCGCCTTACCACTGACCCTGTGCACCTCCCCGCTTCCCTTTGCCACTCAAAGGCGGTCAGCCTCGTCCGCGCCGTGTTTGACCGCATGACCGGGTACAGCAAAGACAACATGACAGAGGCGCTGTGGCTGCGCCGCATGATCTTCCTGGAGACGGTTGCAGGTGAGCTTCAGCGACTGGGGTGGGGCCTGTGGTATGCATGGGGTTTCCGCCGCCCTCGTTGTATCCTGAGGAGGCAGATGCATGCACGCATGGCCGCCACGCCATCCCATGTGGGGAGATCCTGGCCCATGCTGCCCCATGCGACGAGGGCGGGGTCCATGCGGCCTCGTGCACCGTGAGTGGGGCGCTTGCCCCACCCCGCAGCACTCCACCCTACTAATGGGCACTGCATACTGGCCAACCTTCTTGGTGGCCTCAACGGCATGCTCAATTTTTGCATGTCCCCCTGCCCTCGCCGCGCGCCCCCCACCCCCAGGCGTGCCCGGCATGGTGGCCGGGATGCTGCGCCACCTGAAGAGCCTGCGGCGCATGGAGCGCGACAACGGCTGGATCAACACGCTGCTGCAGGAGGCAGAGAACGAGCGCATGCACCTGGTGGGTGCAGGCGCACGCACAGCTATAGCTACAGCAGGGCATAGGCGCGGCTGCATGGCAGTGTGTGAGGCCGAGAGGAGGATCAGAGTTCGGCCACAAGGAATCCTGCCATTGCCCTGTTCCGTCAAAGGTGTATGCTCAAGCGGCTCTGCTCACCTCTTTGCGTCAACGCCTGACACAGCACAACGAATTCCACCCCCCCACCCCATACACACACACACACACAGCTGACGTTCCTGACCCTGAGGGACCCGGGGATTGCCTTCCGCACCATGGTCATCCTGGCCCAGGTGGGGGCCAACTGCTCGGCAGTGGGAGACAGCGGGGCGTGCGGCCCAAAACATCGCCTCTTTCCTTGGCGCTGCCTACTTCGCTTTCACCAGCAGCCTTCTTTGCAGCGGTCTACCTGGCTTGCGAGGGCGCCTCCTTCAGATAGCCCACTGCGAGTCGTCGTCGCCGTCGCACACCCAGCCCTCTATACGCGCATGCTTGCGCGCATTCATGTGCGCACGAGCGCGCGCGCGCACACACACCCACACACACATGCGCGCGCGCGTGCGTGCACACACACACACTCACATCTCCCCACCTTCCCCCCCCCCCAACCTGCGCCAGGGTGTGTTCTTCAACGCCTACTTCCTGGCCTACCTGGTGTCCCCCAGGGCCTGCCACGCGGCGGTGGGCTACCTGGAGGAGGAGGCCGTCAAGACATACACGCACGCACTCAAGGTGATTACGCGCGATGAGGGCGTGGGCGATGACGGGTGTGGGGTGTGTGTATGCGTTGCAAAGGAAATGATGCGTGCCAACCGTGTGCATGTGTGTTGCATGCGTGTGCGTGTGTTTGCGCGTTCGCATGTGTGCATTTGTGAGTGAGGACGGGTGAGCGTTTGTGTGTGTGTGCGTGTGTGTGTGTGTGCCGGCAAGCGCGCTGGCATGCGGGCATGTTGGTCGCAAGCTCAGGTGCCGGCCGCCGCTTGAGAACCCGCTGCTCATGCAACCCCATTGACGCGTGCGACCCCTCGCTTGCTTTCTTGAACATTGCAGGACATCGACGAGGGCAAGCTGTGGAAGGACACCCCTGCCCCCGCCATCGCCGTCAACTACTGGCGCCTGCCCAAGGACGCTACAATGCGCGATCTCATCCTGGCAATCAGGGCGGACGAGGCCAGCCACAGCCACGTCAACCACACCTTCTCGGTCATCCGCCAGGTGGGCGGGGCGGCGGGGCGGCCGACGGGACTAGAAATGGGGCCCAGGCTCAAGATTTGGTACGGTGCTGTAGTATGTTTGCGTGTCCCCATGCATGACATCATGGGCTGTGCGTGCATGCACTTCCACTCCTCAGTGCTTGTGGCTTGCCACCCACTGTGGACTCCACGCTGGACTCTGCCCACCCACCAAACGGCCCTCCTATCGCCCCATGCAGGACGCCCCCAACCCCTTCCACCAGGGGTCAAACCACATCGCCTAACCGAGCGCCACCTCCGCCGCGCTTGCTGGTGCCAGCGCCAGCATGGCTTGCCTTGAGATCAGGTTGCCGCCACACAGTCACATTTGTCAGGGGATGGTGGAGGTGATGGCCGTAGCTGCGCCCTCATTTGCTCGTAGAACTCACGGCACCTTTCTTCACACCGCCGTGATTGCGCTTTGAGCTTATTACAGCTTGGCAGCCGTCCGGGCGCATTCTTTACACGCTTGCCTCAAGATCCGATCCACAAAGCTGCTGGAGTCGCGTTGCTGATGCTCGCGCTTGCTTCTCACGCATCCACCGCATCAGCACACAAAACTCCCATCAAGCAGCCGGCGCCCCAATTTCCGAGCCCTCGAGCAGCGGCGGCCTGTGGCTGTTCTCGTCTCTCCGCGACGCCGCCCCCTTTGACAGCGCGCGCATTTAGGGCGCACCTGCACCAATGTTTGCCTGTGTCGCGCAGCGTCTCCTCAGACGCAAGCATCCCGCGATTGGCGGGATGCACGCTTGCTTTGGGGACCACAACCTTTCAGGGGCCGACCCTCAATAAACCGCGTGATTGCGCAGTGCAGCACAGGGTTCTTCAAACCCCAGGTGACAGCAGACAGGGGAGGGCATGGGACAGAGGGGTTATCATGCAACTTGGGGCACGGGCAATTTTTTTGAGCTGAGTGTGGCTGAGCATTGGTGCGGTGTCTCAGCTCTCGGCACGGTTTGCTGCCTGGTATCCTCGTTCCTCATCTGTTTTGCATGTGCTCACCTGCCTGCCTGCTACCCAACCTCCTTTGGTTTGCATGCGTTCAGGACGCATCCCTGCCCCTCAAAGCGCACTCGCTCTGCAGCCTCGGCGCCGCACATTCGTGGGCCTGCGCCACCTTACCTCTCTCAATGTGCCTCGTCTTGCACTTGCCCAATTGCCAGAGACATGTTGGGTTTCATTGCTTGTCAAGCACTTCCGTTCCCATGTTGTTGAGTAAACGGGATTGGTCACTCCACGTCGCCGCCTGCTCAAGGTTTTGACGCAACAGATTGCAGCAGTCCCTGCAGGCTCTGCATCCGTAGCAGGGAACGCACGCGTCCTGGCGCCTGCCGCTGCTCCTTGCGGCAAGGGGTGTCAGACGGGTCTGCGGCTGTCACCCAGTGACAGTACTGCCAAGGGTTGAGTCCGCCAATCAGTGTGGTGAAGGCTGCTGTATGCTGCATCTGCCAGCCAGCTCCAGCCGTCGCAGCAAAGTACGATCAGACGTTTGCAATGGTACGCCTGTGTTGACGGTTTTCGGTGAGTTGTTGCGGAGTGGTAGGTCTGCTGCTGGCTGTGCGTGTGCCCCAGCTGCAGCCACACACTGAGCCAACGGCCAGTGCCCGCGCCCAGAATCTTACGACATGACACAGCTCAAGGACGCGCAAGAAATCTGGCAGTATTTGCTTGCATGTGTTTTAAATAACCAACAACGGACGGCTGTGCAGGGGATGGAAGGACGGATGTTGGTGGATGACAATCGGGGTGTGGCAGCCGGCAGCCCTGCCGACCTGTTCGACGGGGCCTGTTGACCTTTCTCTCGTACGTTTTTTGCCCTGGCAGCCTCGAATTTCGACGGTATTGGTCAATTGGTATAGTTTTTCTGTTCCTATTTCAGCACATACTGTACGGTACCGTATCAAGTCAGCCCTGATCACGTCGTCAGCCCAAATCCAGCGCTCCACGACTCTGCGGATCATCGCAGACCAGGGCAACGATATACCATATTCAACAATACCTGTGTATTGCCGTTGCAAAGCGCTCGTAGCTGGTCAACTCCACCTTGATCACGGTCACACTCTTGATTGCAGACCAGGATGTTGCCTGCGGTTGCCAATTTCAGCCTCGCACCCAGCTTTGCGCTGGGTGCCCTCTATACCGCGCAGCAGCACCTCGCTCGTGTGGCCCAGCACGCACAGCGTGACATGCGCCCGTTGCAGGTGCAAACCCTAGCTGGGGACACTGGGGACCCACAGTCTGCGGCATGCTATATACATGCGCTCTGCACCGCCTAACTACACTTACCTTCATTGCAGGCCAAGCGCTTCTATGCTGTGGCCCAACCAACGACGCCGCACCCCAAGCCAAGCGCTGTTGCTTCCGGCCAGGGCCCCAGGCACCCCAGCCCGTCCGGCCCTATGCCCACAGGGCACCTGGGCTTCGCCGCAAGCGGCGCGCTGCACCGCTTGCCTGGGGCGATCGACTTTGGCACGGTGCGCAGGGATGGCGACCATGCATGGGCCACAGTTTGCAAGCTCGGCATCGCCACCGCCCTCAATAAGGCATTGGTCTGTCGCTCTTCAGGGTTGTCGCCCTCTCCTGTCGGGCGTGTGGGCTTACTAAGCAGTAGTACTGCCAGTGTGTGGGCGGGATCCCCTGGATCGCAGATGCTGACAGTGCCGCTGGCTTGGCCGCTTTTCCTACAGCTCCTTACCCCGCTGACGCACGAGTGTTGCTGTTTGTGCACCACGAACGCCCGGCCCAATGCAACCACGCCTCCCGCCCCAACCTGCCCTTTACAGGTGCCTTCTGATGTGGCGACGGCAGTGAGCACCCCCATGTACGATGAAGCGTTCCTGACCTCGGTGCAGCCGACGCACCTGGCACCTGAGAGGGTAAGCGGCCGGCCCTTGAGGCGCAAATCTGGCCGTTTGCCGCCCCCCTGCGCACGCACCATTTAGCCCCCATGTAGCCCCTTCCACAAACGTTCTGCCGCACGTCTTATTCATGACTGTTGAGCAACTTGACTATCTTGGCATCTTTCCTGGTACCATCTCTGCCCGCTCTCTCAGGGGTACCAGAAGGTCGGGTTCAAGGTGAGATTGCTTGCTGGCGGGTCGAGGCCTGCCCCTGCCCCCCAAACAAAACCACCGCCAATCGCCGTGTTGCTTAGTAAAGCAATATGCAAATGATGCTTGTGATGAGGGAATTCCTTTTGTACACTGACCTTGTATACGCTTGTATAACAACGTGCATGCAACACAATCCCTGCGAACACTCAGGCCATCAGCATGGTCCGCGCCGTGTTTGACCGCGTGACCGGGTACAACACCGAGACCATGACGGAGGCGCAGTGGCTGCGCCGCATGATCTTCCTGGAGACCGTCGCAGGTGGGTAATGGCAGGGCAACGCCGTGCGCTCATCAAGCACTCCTGTCCACTTGTGGCCCTTGTCAGCATGGTGGGCCGAGCAGATGCACGTTGTCAGCCATCCGTGCTGCTCGACTCCGCTACACAGCCCCGCACGCATGGGTTAGCACGCATGGGTGAGGACGCGTCCGGCCCGCGGCTGGCGGGAGACCCTCTTGCATTGTGGGTAGGTATGAGCCGGCCCGATCGCTCGACTGCAACACCCTGCCAACCAAATCCCAATCAACGAGCCCACCCGCGCCGCGCGCCCCCCGCCCCCAGGCGTGCCCGGGATGGTGGCCGGGATGCTGCGCCACCTGAAGAGCCTGCGGCGCATGGAGCGCGACAACGGCTGGATCAACACGCTGCTGCAGGAGGCAGAGAACGAGCGCATGCACCTGGTACGTGGGCGGGCGCATACACAGCTAGCCGCGTGAGCAGAGTGTGGGTGGCTGGGGGGCTTTGGATGTGTGTGCACTAGGGTGGAGCAAGGGGCCAAGCGGTACAGCTGTTGCTCACTATTCGATCCGTGTGCAGCTCTGCCGCACTGCCTACCCTGCAGACAGCATGCATCTCCTCATCCCACCACCCCCCCCCCCTGGCCCCGACCTACCCCCCAACCTCCTCCCAGCTGACGTTCCTGACCCTGAGGGACCCCGGGATCGCC